CTTAAAATGAAAGTGTTATTACAGGGATAAACATGAACTAGAAATAAGATGTCATAGGAAACTAACAGTGTTATTACCCTAGATTGGAATATTACAGCCATTAATCAACATGACAGTAAACTACAGTGTTATTACCCTATACTGAAACATTACAGCCATTAATCAACTTGACAATAAAGGTATGGAACATTATAGTCATTAATCAACATGACATGTTAATAAAGCTATGGTTTTCAAGACATTTTGTTTGTAATGAATTGTTTAAGTTTTTTTTTTAGTTGAGCTTGTTTTGGGTGCTATTTAATTTAATTTTTTTGTGTTGGGCTTCTTTTAAGTTGATCAATGGCAGTCATGTAATTAATACGAATTTCAACACCAATTTCTTATGTAATAAATGAGTTTTGTGTGTGTTTCTAAAATGCATTACATGTGGTTTTTTTATTATTTATAATTTCAGCCCCTATTTTGGGTATATTAGTGAAGCTCCCAAAAAAGTCGAAGGAATTTGAAAGAAAATTCAGTTTTAAAGAGTCAAAGTTTTATCCTTTTTTCAAAAGGTGATAGAATTTTATTAGACCAATATAAATAAATAGTATGATAGACTCTAAAGGGAGTCATTCCAATAACAATATGGCAAACACGGGTAAACTTCCTCAGTAACTTGAGCCAACTGAAAAGTTGAAACAATCTTGAGAGATCAGTCTTGAGTATAACTATTCTATAACCCTCTTCAATCATTATAATTTTTCCAAATCTAGTCAAATACCATAAATAATTCATACTTAAGTCCTAAATATATTGCGCATCGGACGAGAGAATAGTTGAGAAATTGTGGTTATAATTGATTTTTTTATTAATGTATTTTTCTATGTATTTGTTCTTCTATCTATGTAGGGCTGGCAATGGGTCGTGTCGTGTCGGGTTCGTGTCGTGTCAGGATAATAAACGTGTCAAGAATGCTCAACCCAAACCCAACCCATTTAATAAACGTGTCGTGTCAGGTTCGGGTCGTCTTTTATCATGCGGGTTTCGAGTCGTGTAATGGGTTCATAAATAATAACATGCATGTTATAAAACTCGCAACTAAAAAAATTTAAATAAAAAAAACGGAGAGAGGAGAGAAAATATAAGGAAAAGAAAGAATAAAAAAAAGATAGAGAGAGGAGAGAAGAGAGAAGGAAAAGAAAAAAAAAATAGAGACAGAGAGAGAGGAGAGAGAGAGATGGAAAGAAATAATAAATAAATAAATAAGAGATGAGAGAACACTAAAGAGAAGGAAATAAATAAATAAGAGAGGAGAGAACACTAAAGAGAAGGAAAAGAAAGAAAAAAAAGTGAGGAGAGAAAAGAGAAAACTAAAGAGAAGGAAAAGAAAGAAAAAAAAAAAGGAGAGAAGAGAGAAGGAAAAGAAAGAAAAAAAGAGATGAGAAGATAGACAGAAAACAAAAGAAGAAAAAGAAACATTATAAATATCAAAAGGCATTGTATTAAACGGGTTGACACGACCCGTTTAATAAACGGGTTAGACAGGTATTATAGCGAGTTAGCGGGTTGACCCGAAACCCACCCGTTTATTAAATGGGTCATAACGGGTTTGCCCGAAATTGACCTTTTTTTTATCGTGCGGATTGAATCCGCTAATTTCTCGTGCGGGTTTCGAGTCATATATCGAGTCGTGTCCGAAATTGACACCCCTATATCTATGTCATGCCTTTAATAAAAAGCTTCATGCCCGAAATATATTTCAAAAGGCACTCATAACATTCAACTTAAAGTAGTTTTCATGTTCACATCGACCACCAAAAAAATAAAAAAAATAGTTTTTAATGACCTATTTTATTGATTATTTGATCGCCATCATTCTACTACCATTTCATAACAAAATTAGTTGTAATGATGTTCATGATCTCCTTTAATAAGGCACCGATCTGCAATGGGCACATCTTTAACAACCACACGGAAATTCTGTAATGCCCAAATGGCCACGTGGTTCATTAATTTGAATACTGAGAATTTTCGGTCTACAGAAATTCCCAATGTTCAAATGGAAACGTACGTCTTGATTTTCAGACGACCATCTTGTAGACCGAAAATTCTAATATAATTTTCAAAATCATTCCCCGTGGTCCTTTAACTTCACTTTCGTTAGGACAAATCGTCCTGCCATCAATTTTGTTAACTTTTTCTGTTAAATATAGGGGCAAAATGGTATTTTTATATAAAAACAAAAACAAAAAACAAAAAATTATATCTTTAAAATAACAATAAAATCAAATCAAATAAAAAACCAACAAAAAATAATTGATATGCAGGCTAGACTTAGAAATTTTAGGAGTCATTAACTCCCTTGAAGCATTTTCATTATTTTTGCATAATGAAATATTTACTATTAGAACAGATTGTCAGAATATTGTTTCTCATTATAATAAAATTACTACTAATAAACAAGTAGCCTGAAAATGGATCAATTTTGTTGATTCTATTATAGGAAATGGATTTAGACCGATATTTGAGCATATTAAAGGTACGGACAATACTTTAGCAAATATATTATCCCGTATTATTCATTAAGAGCAAGTCCAGCGCTCACCCAAACCTGGGCAAAAGGCCCCCCTGGCAGCCCAACTCCCCTCCAGCGCACAGAAAAGAGCTCGGGCAATGGCTGGGTCCCACCAGCTCGGGCAGGCCCAAGGGCAACTTTCGCCTGGGCTTCAGCCCGAGGGCGCTGACGTCAGCGCTGGTGTTATGCTGACGTCAACGAGCAAAAAAAAATTCTAAAAAATTATAAAAAATTCAATTTTTTTTTTAAAAAAATAACAAAAAATTATGGATATTTTCCCTATAAATACATAACAATTTTATTCACTTTCCCTATAAATACATAACAATTTTATATTTTGTTGCATATATTTTTTTTTTCTTGCCTTTGACTTGCCTTAGACTTTGCCCTCATGGGTGGAACCACAAATGCGAAGGCTGACACTATTCACGTGAATAGTTGCAGCCCTTGCCTTAGACTTAGCCCTTGTGGGTGGAGATACTCTAATAGGTATGCAGTATTTTGGACCATCATCATTCGGCAGCAAAAATAGTGGTACACCATCACAAAGTGGTAATCCATTAAGGGTAAGTAGTCAAGCAAGACCAGTAATGAATACTTATTTTTATAATGGAATTTCAGTATAAGAAGTTAGAAATCCTGCTTTAAAATATCTTACTCAAGCATCATTAGCAGATTAAAAAAAAAAGGTTCTTTTAGACAACTTTTGGAATATTAGAACTAATACTGAAAGCATGAGAACAGGGCATGAAAAACTTATTAGAGTCCTTGAGCAAGAGTTTTAAGCATATAATTATGATTATAAAAGAGCAAAACAACAATTTTCTTTTTTGCAGGAAAAACATGCAGAGCAAAAAAAGAAATATGATACAATAGTAAAGCATTTTAGAATCATTAATTTAATATGTCAAATTCTACAAGAAAAAGAGGCTAATGAGCCCAACTTACTTGAGCATAATAAAGAATTTTCCCTTGAGCAAAAAACTAAAAATCCCTACTTTCTTCAAACTCTAGCTAGAGAAAGGTATAAATTTTTACCACAAGATGTCAAGAGTCATATAATTAGATTAGAGTATGAGCAAAATACATCTCTTCAAATATATATCCAAACTTTTCTTTTCAATTTAAAAAATAATCCACACCCTGGCATCAGAATTATTACCAAAAAATGTTCTCATTATACTATTCACTTAGCTAGTGTTAACATGATTGAATATAGAGAACTGCATTTAGAGCATAAACAAAAAACAATCACAGTTACTCCAGCATTTTTAGCATAATATGGTTATTTAAGTCAACTTTATATTGAAAGTAGTGATCATTCATTCTCCTCAAAATTTAAAGAAGTCATAAGTTTTTATCTTCCTCTTTGGAAAAATATAAAATTAGATTTCACCAGCATATCCCCAGAATGGTTTGAGGATAACATTTACCCAGACATAGCACAACATAGAATTATTATTTCTTTTAATAAACTGCTTAGTTCGGCAGAATCAGCAAAAACAGGGATTCTTACCAAGCAAGACATTCAAAAATATAGAGATGCAATCATAGCTGAGCAACAATTGTTCAATGATGATCGTCTGACCCTCCTTCACTAGTCCAAGTTTATCAAGATTTATTTAGAATCTACATCAAGGAGACCAGATGACACATATGAATTTAGGATAAGCACAACAGGCACAAACGTTTTTGATGAAGTCTATAATCAGATAGCAGAACAAATTTCAACAGAAGACAACAACAATACATACTGGAATAGCTTAGGAGAAGAAGAGCTACACAATATAGACAATATGATGGAAGCATGAAGACCATGTGAAGCTAAGCATCATCAACCCCATTTCCACGAGAAGAAATCATCCAGCAGGATAGTCGCCAAACTATTTGGCTCCATACGGCCAATACGAAGCAACATATGAAAAGAAGAAACATTTTGGTTTCATCCGGCTAGCAGGAGCAGAAGGATTCCTTAGAAAATCCAAAAATGAATAAGGGCATTATTGTCCAAACACTTTAATTTTGTCCTTCTTTATAAATACTGTACCTATTTTGGGTTTATTTATAAGTCTCCCTAAAAAATTTGAACATCATAGAAACTCTATGTGATATCAAGTCACTCATGTATCTTAACATGCAATGTATAAAGTGTAAAATATTATAGTAAATCATTATAAATAAATGATTATGGTGTGTTTAATCTTATTTCATTAATTATTACATATTTTCTACGCTCGCAATATTTGTCAGCTCGCTATATAATCAACTTAAATAAGTTAAAATCATCATGCAAATAATTTTTTTTCTAATTTTTTATGATAAGCTAATAGATAATTGATTAAATAAATTTTCTTCTATAGTTTCAATAAAAATTCCCAAGTATTTCTAACCATTTATATGATTTTTATTTAATTTTTTTCGATATTTTATACTCAGCTATAACTGATACAAACTCATAAAATTTTCAATAAAATGAAAGCTCGGATTTAGAGAATTTAGAGAGCGGAATCGGCACTTCAACAGTAACTAGGTTTGCGAAAGGACGCGAAATGGACGAGGCTGAATTCCGACGCCTTCTCGATCTCTTCCCAATAGTCCGATCTCGCGACTACCATGTAACTCTTTCTCCTCTCTCATTCATCATCACTGAAAGAGATTGTTTTGCCTTTGCCTTGCCTTCGCTTTGCGTGGTTTCTTCTTTATTCTTATAAACAATTCTTCTTATCTGGTGATTTTGATGCTCTATAGAATATGGGTTTTTGATGAGTTTCTTAATCGATCAGTTAGAAATTCGTCGTTTAATATTTAATTTATGGCATCCTGCCTGTCGTTAAAACTTGTTGGATATTGGGCAAAATGGTTACAAATATATAATCTGGGTCATTTGCAAATATTGGTTTTTATTTTCCATGAACGAAATTTTATCCTTTTCTCTATTTTCAATTGAAGAGGACTAGATACAGGTTTAGAAGGTGGAAAAGAGATGTAAGAAAATTAACTTCTAAGTCAGCAGAGTATAACATCATCACATATATGTTCCTGGAGTCATTGAAGATGCCGAACAAGCGGCCAGGGCGCTGTGTAGAATGATTAAGGGATGAATCAATTTAGAGGGATGATGGATAGCATTAAGCAGTTTTAGCTGATGAAGATGTTTTCTTGACTCAGAGAAGAAAGCAGGTTGAATCAAATTGGTTACAATTTAGAGCTAATTACATTGGCAGGAATCATCAAAATATAATTTTCTTGGCCAGCAGCCCAAGTGCTTTACTTAATTATCTTTATGTAGTTTGAATTGGGGAGGGGGTGGAGGCTATATTTAAAAGTGTTGGACTTCGGCATAGTCGAAACCTCAATAAATAGTGGTTTATGTGCATGATATGTGTGGAAGTAGATATTTATATGGTCATAGGGAATCAGGGGAGCACGAGTTAAGTTTTGGGAGGATTGGTGGACAGGGGAGTCTCCTTTGTGTCAATCCTTTTCCTATCTTTATAATCTATCCAACTCTCATAACATTTCTGGTGAGAGTATAAATCTCACATCGTGAATGTCAAGCCTTGCATGACAGTATATAAGCTGGAACTTTGGTTTTCATAGAAATTTGAATGATGTGGAGGTTGGGGAGCTTTCTTCTGTACTCTATTTGCTTGAAAGTTGTTCCTTTCAACTGGAGAGACCGGATAATAGATTATGGAAACTTGAGTCATATGATTGTAGGCTGATTGATGAGGCATCTCTCCCTATGTTCAGTTCCTGTCACATGATTTGGAAGGTTAAAGTACCATGGAAGGTACAAATTTTGAGTTAGATTAATACTCATGGTAAAGTCAGTCCTTGGGACGTATAGGGCAAATGTTTGTTTATTTTCCCATTAGTTCATTATGCAAAAAGAAGGCTGAAAGTATTGGTCATGTATTTCTTCATTGCCCTATAACGTTAAAGTAGTTACATAAGTTATTTTTCGTAGCAAATTAAATTAGTTAATTTATGCATTTGGCAGAACCACCACCCAATTATGCAGGTGGAAGTGCCATTCTTTACAATAAATTATAATGTTTTTTGGTTGCTTATATATACATCAGTCCATTCTTAGACAACTTTGTATAATGTCAGGCTGAATTAGAGCAATCTAAAGAATCAACTTCTAAGTCAGCCCAGTACGAAGAGGTAATACTAACATTTTGAAAATTTTCCATTGTACACACATTCACACTGTCACATATGGTGCTTGTTGACATATTTGAATTTTCTCAACAGGTGAAAGAATGGCAGGATGCATGGGATGAGGGAGATAAAAAAGAAGTGGAGAAGCAAGGACTTGACCAACATGGTATGTCTAACATATGCTCTCTATCTAGCACAAACTGTACATCTTATTGTCTTTGGGGTGAACTAGTGTGACAGCTCCATAACCTTCAGAGCCACTACTACCCATTGTACCATGTCATTTGGCATGTTACATTTTGTATATGTGATGACCTTTTAAAAGTTTCACTTAGGAATATTTCGAAGTAGAATCTTCATTTTCTTTTATTTATAACAAATATCCTTGATTAGTGAACTGCTTTTTGTCTTCTTTAGCTATCTTTGTATAGTTTCCTGTTCTTTGTGATTTTCAATTTTTTAAATACAAAATTAGTGAAACACCCAATCCTAGACATGAAATTATAAATATACCCAACACTATTTAAAACATAGAAACACACCCAAAATAAAACCAAAAATCAACAATTGTATATTTTTTGGGTGTGTTTATAAAGTGTTTTTCATGTGGGGTTTTTTTATAATTTCAGCCCCTATTTTGGGTGTATTAGTGAAACTCCCTTTTTTAAATTGGTGCAACCCCGAGGAGTTCTCATTTTTATAAGCCAGTTGGCATTATTGTGAAACGTTTTCTAAAGTTCTGTTCTTTCCGTGTCATCAGTTCATGGTATGATGTTTCCTTCTCCTCCTCTTCATCATCATCATGATGTTGTTTTTATGTGTGTACCACCAGTTTTCTAGTGTAAATGTTAAATTTTTTCAACTCATCTGGATGTGTACTTACAGGTGCATTTTGGGAGAAGCTAAAGTTGGTTGCTGAGAGAAAGGTATGCCCATCTTTGCCATTGATTTTCATTGGATATGTTGGGATAGTATTTTACATATTATGAATATCCAACACGATCTAATGTACAAAATTTTGTAGTGTCACATCATATTTTGACGCAATAGGATTCTGGACAATTCAAAACAAGAAGAGATGAACATATTAATGCGTTTGTGAGCGTACAATGCACGTGTTTATGTTGTAGTGATTTTTGTTTGTGTATAATGATGTTAGATAAAGCATAACTACGAAAAATATAATTGTTCCATTTTAACCCTTCGTTTCATTCTGAGTCCAATCCTTGATAAAAATTAATAATAATTGTTCTCAATATCTAGGTGTGGAAAAATGGGTCTATTTTGTTGAATGTTTTAATGTTGAGCAATGCTAAGTTGTGTTCTTTTCCCTTTCGTGTAAGTTTTTTAAATAAAGTGAAAGAGACTTCTGCAGTTAAAATAAACACATAAGAAACAAAAAGGGAATTGATACAACGCTTTATTTTCCTGTATGTTCATAATAAAACAAGTCTGGGGTGAATTTTTGTAGTTTCAAGATTGCACTTACTTGCACTGACCAAATGTGGTTTGTACCTTTTGCTCATTATTTTCATTGACCTTACTTCTGGATATAAGGTCTTTCTTTTCTTTTGTTTGTTTTTTATTCTAAAAATCTGAACCCAATCTGGCTTGAAAAAAGCATTAAGTCATACAAACATCAAACCTTCGCCTTAAACAAAAGTGAAACTAAAGAGCATGACAATTGACTAATGTCACCTTACCATTTACATTCAAGACTTTCTTTTTCTCCTTTGTTAGTTGAACTTTGCTCTTATACACTATAACATATTATACACTAGCATTTGCGTTGCTAACCTCTATAAATTTCTTCTGCCACACAACGCTGAGGTAAATGTAACGGGATTAAGAGTTGCTGATTTGACATCAAGTTGAGTTGCTCAAATCATGATATAATTGTGTGGCTCAACTCATAATACAAAAGGAGTTTAGAGCTAAGCACAGAGTGTTGATCGGAGTTGTGAAGTGCTTGGATGTAGCACAGAGTGTTGTGGAGGACTTTAGGATACAACTTATATTGCTAGCTGCCCTGGGCACATAAGCAAGAATTTTGGTTTTGAACCAAAACTCATATTAGTTAGCCCTTCTAGCTGTGCTCCTTGAGTTTGGAGTTGTTTCTGTGCTAGTTGGTTGGCCTACGTTTTGCCAAGGTTGACTGGTTCTCCCATTCAACCCTCACCGGTCAGTGGAATGTAGACCCAGTAAGAAAGAAAGTTCCAAAATGACCGGCAAGGTGGCATTATCAATATATCAGCTCTTTGGGTGTTATTCCGATACTCAAGAAGGGAAGTTAGTTTTTTTCCCACAATGCAACCAAAACTCCTGCATTTCAGCGACATTTCTATGATGTTTTCATTTCAGAGTTGGATAGTCATGAATGTATCTGCGACATCTGGTAGAAAATTTGGTGACACCACCATAAGTCGCTGATTTTTGACACAGATCTCTTTTTTTTTTTTTTTTTTTTTTTTTTTTTTTTTTTTTTTTGCTTGTGTTCTTCTCAGAAACTGTAATACCCACATGAACTACTAGTAGCTACAACATATGATATGTACCCATCTACTACCCAGCCAGCAGGTGCACACCCAAGGCCCAGCACCACCATCATGAACCTGTATAACCACCAACATTGCAACCCCATGCAAATTACCTAGCCATGTCTAGATGACAATTTTGCTCTACGAATACTCCAAATGTGTAACCATAGCACCCTCTCCTATCCAATTTTTGATACACTCCCTTTCAACCTTCTTTCTTATTACAAAAGGATGAAATAAATTAAACAAAACTACTGAAGAATAGTTGTATGTTGGTGTCCCAATACAATATTGGCTGGAAGCACAATGGAAGGAGATCTAACTATTTGGTGCTCGTTTGTTTAGGTGGGTGAAGCAGAAGCAGAGAGATTTTGCAAGGCATTTCAACGAATTCATAAGAAACTTGTATGTACCATATGTTTTTGAAGGAATAATATTCCTATTCCCTAGTTTAGTTTATGTTTTACATTGCTGACACAATGCAAAATTCCTTCTAAATGTTCCAGGTCTATGAAGAACTGAGTTTGGATGCTGCCCAGAAATTCCTGAACTCGTCCTGAAGTTCGTTCTGTGGCATAGATTCTGCATGCTTTTGTACATTTCCCATGTTTTTAATTTTTGGTGATAACAAGCCTTCTGCTTCCTCTGAGCAAAGGCTGTGGCGCCAATTAGTTCTACTAACTGCCCTTTTTGCTTTTGCCCTTGTGATTTGTATGAACTTTAAAAAATTCATAATCGAGCTGAAAGGGCATTGTTGATGGTATTGTTTTGGACCCTGCTTGGCATGATAGGAGTAGTGGGCCCTTTGCCTTAAGCTCATTAATCATTTTGACCCTCAAAGTTCGGCTGGAAAAAGCCTTCCCAAAAGTTCCGCACTCCAGTGTACAATTTGCCATGATCTTTCAAGGGAACATGGCGAATCCTTACATTCATATTTTCTCATTGTCTTGTCTACTTCAAATTAAGACAACCTGCAAAGTAACTATCCATGCACTCGAGGTCTTACGTTCGATGCATTACAGAACAGCTGCATTATTTTCACCTTGACCATGACAGTATAACCTTTGTGATGATTTCGGCTGAGCATATCTGGTTCTGTACAATTATATCTAGCATTATGTAATTTGATTTTACTAGAAATATTCATCACACAAATACCGTATCTCCGCATAAAATTATTCTTAAATTTTGATTTCATTAGTTAGGGAGAATGGAATCCGGTATGGTCCATCGGATTTTTGGGATAAGATGCTAGCCCTAGGAACAGCCATCCATAAAATAACAAGTGCTAAATACGGTTTTTGAAGTTTGTGTATGAGTTTGGTCAGTGGTCTGACTTCCAGGAAACTTCACTGATCAAAAGTCCATGAAATTTGGCAATCATAACAGTGATATATGGACTGCATTATACTGAACTATCGGCAACTTTAGGCGTTTCACTGCTGTAAAGTGTAAAACATCAAAGCCCTTCTTCTAGAGAGGCAGTAAAGTCATAGATCCATGGACGCGCTTAAGTCAACGATGGAGTACCACCATCCAGTGAATTGTAATTAAATAAATAAATAGCACAAACAGAAGCAGCCATGCCCATGTTTGTCTACAGATCCAAACGGCATTAGAATCTAATCCATTTTTAAATTCCTTAAGAGAGCTGTGATGACAATTATAAATAACGACAATGACAAAAAAAAAATTGTCAAATATCTAAATCACCGAACTTAGACTTGCTTGAACACATGTTTAACTTCAGAAAAACGGGATTAAATAAATTCAGAAAAATCAAATAAAATAAAAACCCCAAAGTGCACAGGACAACAGAGCTCATCTTTAGAGATAGGCATAGGACAATGTGAATGACTTAGTCCGTGATTCCTTGACATTTTATTTATTTTATGAAAAATATGCTCTTAGTAATTCTTGTCAAAGAATTTTGCTTTTCTCTCTCTTTTCAAAGAAAAAGAAGTATGTTTAATTTAGATATTCTAATTTCAAAATGAAAATCTGAAGAAAAAGAAAAGGAATCATCACACACACCGACAAGTTTTCAGGCTTGTGGTAAGTAAAGGCAAATCAAAACAGTCCAAAAATCACAGCAATTGATGAACATGATATGTTGCCAATCTGGGGCCTCCACAGCACACCTGAGTGGCAAGTGGTTGGCTTACCGCCTTTGATTTTATGATTGCTTTCATGTGGTCTGCAAGTGTAAGGATGTACCCACATTAATAGCACCCTCCAGCCAGCTAATACCAATCAAAGTCTGTCTTGTCTTATATCAAATACAAGCTTATTTGGAAATCGATTAAACAATGACGGAATTTGTAGATCAAGTGATTAAGAAACATTTATTTTTGTGTCCGTAGTTTCAAATTCGATTTTCTCTTCTTAATATCGCTTGTATTTATAAAATAAAAAAAAAGTAAAAAAACTATCAAAAGCTAAACATGGCATTGGACTTATTGGTGTAGCTCAACGGACACCAGCCCAACAACATAATCATGATTTATTATAATAATAAAGCAAATGATCCAAGGAAAGCAAAACAAGCACATAAATTATTTTACAAAGGAAAAGAGGAACCTTCCATTTCGTCAGCCCTACATTTCCATCTATGATATGTTTAGTTCTATCTACACCATGTACTTACTGATGATAAAAAATTACGTTGACCAGATGGTCCAGATCTCTCTCCCTTCCTTCATAGTCACACACACAACCTCTTATTTCCTAAATACAAATCCTCAAATTGTATATACCAGGGAACTGTTGTTTTGGTTTGCTTGAAATTGCAAAAAGTATCGACAACAGCATAAAGAGCAAAAGTAGAGAAATATTTTCAACAACCTTTTAATGCCACCGTAATAATGGGGCCCGCATGTTCGTTAAAACTGTGAATCTGAATTACACATTCTAATAAAACCACGAATTCGCAAACCAATAAACATTTCCGGTAAATATAATAAACATTTTCATTACCCTTAGGCCTCTAAAATTCAATCGAGACCCTTTTTTCTTGTCGTGTATTACACCGTACAAATATTCCATTTCTACATTGCATATTAATATGTACAAAACACGCATCAAAAAGACAAAAGACCTACTGCCCTACTGCTACTACACCATGTCTGCTGGTACCACTATACCATCACACCACAAAATACCAACTTCTTTCAGTTTCAACCCAAAGTGAAAAACCAAAATGAGGTACCTTGCTTGCTTTGCTTCCTTTCAATACTTTGACACTAGTGGGTGGCAGACTGGTTTGAGGTTTCTCTTTTTCCTCTACTTTTTGGCCGAACGTGAGTGGTTGCGAATAGCAACCCGTGATATACAAGTTCTTCTCCCTTTTTACATTATCTTGTTCGAGAGGCAAGGAGTCGGTTGGAATTTCCTATGGGTTATAAGTTTGGGGGCAAATTCTTACGCCTCTCCAAAACCATATTCCCACTCGGTTTCTCCAACTTGTTCCCAAATTGCCAAATCCTCACCTCCTCGGAAAACAATATTTTCACTGGTTTTTTTCTTTTCACCTGCACATACACATAACCCATTTGACTCAGTCGAGTGTTGTTTCAAATCAATTGTAACTAAACATATAATTATGTGAACCAAGAAAATTGAAAAAAAAGCCCTTCTTTAGACTTTAGCTCAAAGCAAGGAGTGAGAAAAAGACAGGCGTAGGATCCAAACATTAAAAAAAGGGAGCTTTAGAGTGGCATCCCACAACAAGCAAGCTCTTGAGTCTTCAAGGTTGAAGCTACCTAACTCTCTCACTGTCTGTTTTGGTCCTTGTCCCTTCGCAAAAGAACAATGCCATACGCCAAATCTCACAAAACCTCTATACTCTAATAAAATTCAGCAATTTCAAGCTGAAAATTACCAAATGGGTATTTAAGGTTTTGCAATCTATTGCCAACTAAACTTAATTACTTGCATGCAAGGAGCTTGCAGCTCAAGTCCGTAAAAGTATTTATCTCTGCATCCGAGTTTCTAGATTCAATTCCCGGATCCTTGATATCAATTGTATAAAAATAAACACACAAAAAACTAAATTTCTAGCATAATGGGCTCTAACCCATTTCCAAACTACCCTAGCTGCAAATTGATTATGATTTGGACTTATCTCTCTCTACCTAATAATCCAACTTTCCCGCGATGATACTGTTACTGACCAAATACTCCACTGAGTCGACTCGCTAACTCACACCGACAAAAAAACAAAAAGTGGAAAAAAAAAACGCGCTTACCAGAGTGAATGAGCAGAATCTCAGTCCCGGAAAATGACCTTCTCGGCCAAACCCAACAAGGGTTTCAAGCAATCCGGCGAGAACTTCCTCGCGAACAGGTACGACTCCGACAAATTCGATTTCCGCAGCCGATGAATCAGCTCCGCCGACACTTCCCCGGCTCGGTAAGTGTACGGGTGCCCGTTTACCGTTCCCGTCCAATTTACCCGGGTCAAGCTGTAACGGGTTAACCCATCCGGATCCGCCATTGACAACAACGTCGGAAAATAGTGCTCCTCCGGGTAGCACTGGTCTTCTCGATAGCACGGCATTCTGAATTTTTTCCACAGCGCCCGATCCTTCAAAACCACGAGCGCGTGGCGTCGGGTGAGGAGGAAGAACTGGGACCCGACCCGGAACTGCTCGAACGGGACCTCCGGCATCATCGCGAAGCGTCCGCGGGCGGAGTACCGCTTCCAGAGACTGGCCGATTTGGAGAGGATCTCGATGAAGCTCTTGGGCCGGACCTTGAGGCCCATCTGGGCCAACTCGGCATCGGAGCCGGTGGCGGGTCGGGTCAAGTCGAAGGTAGTGGAGAAAAAGAGCGAGTTGTAGACGTACCGGAAGGAGTGGAGGGGGACGCAGTACTGGGACAAAACGGCGAAGAAGAGATTGGCAGGGTCGTCGATGACAGCAGAGGCAAGGAGGCGGCGCGTGGCGGAGATGAGGGTTGCAGAGGCGCGGTAAGTGCGCTTAGATGGAACGAGGCGGTTGTGGAAGACGGTGCCGGGAGGGAGGGTGACGTTGGCGGAGGGATCGGCATGGACGTAAATATTGTAAAGATTGGAGTTGGTTTTGGAGAAGAAAAGGGACCAGAGGGGGGCGAAGTGGAGGTCAGAGTTGGTGAGGAAGAGGAAGGCGATCTTGGGTTTGGAGGATTTCGAATCGAGGGCGAGGTGGGAGAATGTAGGCTTGGGTTTTCTAGGGTTAGGGTTGAGGGCGCGGTTGAAGAGGGCCTGGTCGTCGAGCTCGTCGGAGGCGGAGATGGGGATCTGAGGGCGGGAAGGGGGAAGGAAGCGTGGGGCGAAGAGGAAGAGGAGAGAGAGGGAGAGGAGGAGGAGGAAGGAGACGAGGAATGGGGTGGAGGAGAGCATTGGATGGGAGGAGCATGCCAGGGAGGAGGAGGAGGCGGCGGCGGTTGAGGTGGCTGATTGGGTAGGTGAGGTTCTATGGGACTTAGTGTGGAATGGAATTGTGTGCCTGTTTTCTCTGTGTTTGGGCGTGGTTGGAGGCTGAGGAGGCTGTTGCTGCTGCTTGAACGACTCCAGTGGACTTGAAGTGAGAGAGAGAGAGAGAGTTTGGGAGAAATGAGATTTGGGGGATTTGAAGAAGGAAACTGATGATTCCAGTTTGTTGTAGGGAAGGGGCCTATCTTACTAGCGCTGTTACAGATCATTAATACAACCCCTAAAGAATTTTCTTCTGTTTCTTTTTTTATTTTTATTTTTTCGTTTTGGGAAATTTGACTTTCACTCTC